CAGGGTCTGCAGGCAAATGCCCAACGAAGGCCTGAGGCTGCATGCGGGCCTATGCATCCGCAAAGGACCCTGACCTAGCGCCAACAGAAAGTCAACCCACAACCCTGCTTCTCCCATCACTCAGCGATGTGGAGACTAGAAGACTCGCCACGGCGCATCACAACAAATTGATAGCTCAATATGCTGCCCCAGGTATGCCAGAACAATCTTAGGCTCATGTACGGGCATCAAGCATTGATCTGCGTTCTACAGTAGTTCCAAGATTCCGTTCTTAAACACCTGAATTCCTCCGCTAAAACACACCCAGCTCCACGCATCTCAGTCGTTCGTCCGTGCATTGCTCCGTAGAGGAAGCGCCTGAGGAGAACATTCTCTGCGACTGATGGAGGCCTCCCTCTGTTGGATTTTCCGCCCAGCTTATCAGCCCGTGGAAACATATGGGAAGGTCGGGGTTGGCAAAACCGAATGCTGGGGCAATATGGCTGTGGGTCAATTGTACCAATTTGGGGTAGGTGTACCACCCATTTTAGTCTATTTTAGTGGAGATTCGGATGTTTGACTTGGGGGTACGGGATTTTGACCCATGGCGATATCGGAAAAGCGGCTGTCTGGCTGCTGTCTGGCATTCCAACTGGTCTGACGTTGCAATTGCATCCTGTGATGGCGCCTCTTTCCCCACCTCGCCCTCTCTCTCACCCCAAGTGCCGGGCCAAATGAGGCCTTACATTGGCCACACGAATCCGCAAGTATGGCGAGCAAACGGTTGCGCTGTTCAGTGTTTAAGCGGTTGCAACGATTGTCGCAAAATAGCCTGTTCAAAGGCAGTAGTCGCAACCCGTACGTTATTCAGAATGGGCTGTTTCCCCGCATCAAATTGGCTCAAAGCACCACTTAGCCAGCGGCAGGGTGGCACTGCGTGGCCTTGATTCTCGACGCCGTGAGCAACCACCTGCAGCTTGACAAGGCTCTGATTATGACAGCGTAGTGGCTATTCATCTAAGCCTGAATGCAGCTTACTTTGCCTTCTGCCAAGTGCAAGGTTCCCCTCAAACGATGGCTGGGTTGGTGCCTAGAAGCAACGCATTGCGCGAAAACATGTAGGAATATACAGTACCATGTGCATGACACCAGGGCTAGTGGACCAACCAAAAACATGTTTGCAGGCATCTGGGCTGTGAGAACAGATGGCTGGCCTTCTGGTGAGCAACGCCGGTCCTTAAGTAGGGCCGCTGCTTTGGATCCGAAATGCGTGCCAAATATGTACCGCATGCATATGGAACAGCATGCACTGCCACAAGGCTTGCAGGCTTTTCAGAAGCCACAATCCCATTATTTGACCACACCAACCAAAAACCTGCGCGCCCTAGACACGCCAAACCAGTCTTGGACGTTGCTTGCAGGCTGGGTGTCATTCGACCTGTCAGTGGATCAACTACAGGCCCGCCACTGTTCCCTGCCTCAGCCAATGTCAAGTCTTGCAATCACACGAGCTTGTACCAATGGAACTGTAAGCCAATCACCAGCTTTCAATTTATGATCATCTGGTTTTGACACCGAGATGGCTTAGGAGTGTTTTCTCCGAGGGCTTCACCACACGCACTAGCAAGAATTCTCTCTTGGGGATGCTGTCTTGTGCTGTCAATGCATCACATTAGACGTTGACAAGCGTTACTTGGATAATCAATCGCCTTCTTCCTTGCAACGCACGTCTGTGAAGACATCTAGAGACCCATGGTCCTTGAGACTTTTCAAAGCTGCATTCCCCAAGCGAAAGTGTGAGGTATCCGCGTTGATTGCCGCGTCCACTGTCAGGGCCAAGCCTGAGTGCTCACGAGCACCACGGCATGACTCAATGTGAGCTCCATCTGGCAAGGTTACAAGCTGAGACTCCGGCATGATCTGCGGCTGTGGGAGTAGTCTACCACCTCCACACCCACAACGTGAAGCGCAATGACAAGTTTGCGGACAGTTCTGGAATAAGTTACGAGAAAAGCTGGAACAAACCTCAGCACACGCACACACACACAGTGTTCAAAAACCAAACAGATTTTACCCTGGGGCAGTCAGAGGCTTGGGATCCATCTCGCACGGTCCAGGCACATGCCCACCTCAACGCGAGAGAGCACACCCTCAGTTATGCTCAGGTAGTCGCCGCCGACTGGAAAGCCCATGACCTGCAAACCCAAGCGTCCGTCCATTGGTTGCGAAGAAACAAGTGTTCTAATATGGCCATGGTTCAAAACCAATGGTACCATTTTGGGATAGGTGCACCACCCATTTTAGTCTATTTTAGGCGGGATTGGGATGCTCAAGGGGGTACGGGGTTTTGACCCATGGCCATATGTTCTGGCGTTGGCGAATTGGTCAAGGACAAAGGTGTGATCCCAGGCCCTTCAAGCTTCCGACAAGTATGGTAGGTACACCGCCAGAGGCACATGACACCAACCCTCATCAACTCCAGGCAACGATTCACGTGGACCAAGCTAAGCAGCCCAAATGCTGCTAACATCTGAGTTGCATGGGATACGATACCTGGCCACATCCGTCACATCCGGCGCCGATCAAATTCCGATACCTGCACGCGTGACTGCATAGGCAGGACTTCTTGTGGCTTCAGGAGCTCCATGGGTGCAGCTCCTGCAGGGCAAAATCTGCCTTCCCAGATCTCCCGGAACGGAAGCGTCTGGCTAAACCACCTAAAACAAACATGGCGGTAACCCTTCAAACTTCATAACTGTTCAATTGACTTCAGCAAATGACTTGTGTTCCCTGTGGCCTCCCTCATCCTGCGAACCATGCTTCCCGAACTGCCCCAAGCATGCTTGGTTCTCAAGAAAGCGTGAGTCAGAAGCCTAAGAATGACCAAAAATGACATAATGATGCCTTGCCTTCGAAGCAGCGGCTATCTCGAACCTAGCCGGTGTTCGAAGGCTGCGAAAATATCATGGCTAGCGCGCCCTTTGTAAATGCACGGGCTGAGATTTGATTGGTGTTTGCTTTCGTTTTTGTATATCTTGTTTGTCTCCCACAGCGTCCAGCTATGGGGTCGAATACGCTATTACCAGTGAGCCGATGTCATCCTGGTGGTCTCTCTGTGGTATCCTCCTGCCCCGGCGGTGTTTCGGTGGTTCCACTTGGAAACCCTGGGGTGTGCTGGTACCGTCCCGCTGGTGTTTCGGTGATGTCCCGGCGGCGTTTTGGCGGGCAAAAGGCGGTGAGACTGCTGGCGTGCGGTGTTGCTAGTGGGGTCTGCCGTTGGGTTAATTTGGTTGGGTTAGCCCAGGCTGGCAAAATAACATGCATGTTATAATCGAATTTAGTAGGTATTCTTAAGTAAAATCAGATTGCTTTAGAGTGAAATTGGAGTTAATTTGAAATAAGTTAAGGGCGAGTTATTCAGTGTGGAGGTAGCTTGGCTTTGGCTTGAGTTGGCTGAAGGATGCGGAAGGTAGTTTGAGGGCGGCTCCAAAATCGCTTTCCTGATGGAATTCCGGTTGGGCTTGCTTAATTAGTGTGGGCTTCGGATTGGGTTTAGTGCTGGTTTTAGGGTGGGCTCAGCGTGGCTTGTGGTTTCGGGTGGGTTTGAGGATGGGCTCGGGCGGACTCGAAGGTGGCAAGCCAAACAACCCAAGAACCAACAGATACCAAACTGAACCACTCAACACTTACACCTAACCAATCAACCACACACACACACTCCAAATGCAGATCCATGTAGCGGATGCACGCCTCTGCTGGCCAAACAAAATAGTCACAAGGCCCTTGGCAAGCTGAAGCAAGCCAATCACAAACACCAACATAAACATGAAAGCTGACAAGCAAACCATGGCCGCGCCTCTAGCAGGGCCAAGTCGCAATCATGCGCAACCTAAGCACATTAACATTCACACACACACACACGGTCGTATACAAACAACTAGCACACACCAATTCACATACAAACATGCAAACATAGAGGCGCACACGCAAACACAAAACAAAAACGCACATGCGCGGACACACACACACACACACACACATGCACAAATTGACATGCACAAGGCAGGTAGGCCAGCAAGCATGCAAGCAAGAATAAACATCAAAGAAAAAAGCAAAGCAATCAGGACTGACTCACTTTGCCAATGACTTGGCCTCAGCCTCAGCAGCCTCCTTTGCGCTAGTCAGCATCAGGAGACTTCTAATGAACATACGAGCAGCAACACAAAAACACACACACACACAACCCACACACACACGCACACGCTGTTCCTCTCACGCTTTCACACACGCGCAGGCAAACGCGAGCACGTGCAGGGCAAAGCATGGGCATGCATGCGTGCACACGCATGACGCATGGCATGCACTCACACATGCGCATGCAGTGTGATGACGTGTGATGGCTGTTTCTTGTCTCATTTGTTCCTACCTGTCAGCTTCTTTGCGGCCATGATGGCTGCATTTAGTCGGGAGAAACCATGCCAACACTGCACTCCACTGTCCATGTCATTCTCAGAAGAGCTGACAAATTTGGAGCAATAGCAAGTTCAAGGACAAAGCTTTCCCAACAGCTTACGTCGAACTGATTTACTTCGTGCATTTGGCCGCCTGACATCAGTGATTCTGCAAACGTGCTCAGGCACCTGCTTTCCCTATGGCCCGGACACTGTCTCTCTTGCTCTCTCGCTCTCTCTCTCTCTCTCTCTCTCTCTCTCTCTCTCTCTCTCTCTCTCTCTCCCCCCTCCTCCAAATGTCAAGGCTCAAACGCGCGACTCAAACGCACCCACATGTCTGAGGCAACTCAGCGCAAGACAGCCACTACCCGAGCAACGAACTTCTCCTTAGAGGGATTGTACAAGCTTCCATCTCAAATGACAAGTCCACTAGGCTAGGGCGGTCAGCAATCAAACACTCGCACAGAACAATGAACGTGACTATAGTAGTCACACACACACACATCATCTTGTCGAGGGGTCCAATAAAACCCCAACGAGGGCAACGTAGGATCAAGTCTAGGGGCAGAAAGCACAATCACCAGAATCAACACCGCTGATGGATAGGCGCGAGGACTTGCCAGCAACTGACTTGGACTTCCTGCGACGCTACGCACCATCCCAGGCACCTTCCCATTCATGAGCCAGTCGGCAGCAAGAAAACCAGCACCCTCCGCAAACAGAAACACAACAACTCATCCTACAAGTATGCCGAGATGCTTCCTGAACAACGCCACTTTCTGGTTGGTCAAATAAACCATCACGGCTTAAATCTTGTCTATTTGCCTCTCCCTGCCCCAAATATTCAAAGCCGACAACATCCAACAACATTGGCAACTTGAGACTCAATACTGCAAGCCATGGCGCAGGCGAGGCCCCTGGACACGCGAGCAGCTGTACTCGAATGTCGCGCCTTGGTAGAAAGTGATGCTCGGCGTGGCTTGACAAGAGTGGGGAAACCTGCCGATCCGGCCATAAGTTAGTACGAAGCTTTCATTGATGTGTCTGCACTCACAGCCCCCACGCGTCTGAGATGACGTGCGCAGCCGTCAGGACGAGATCGCCTTCGAAGTCGTCGACAGCCTGGCGGTGGGCAGACTGACCATGCGCGCTGAGATGGTCCCAAATCATGGACGTGTGACACTTCTGATTTTGTCTGCCATGAGCCATACAAACACTCAAGAGGACATGGCTAAATGCAAGGCCTCGGGTTGAGCAAGAGCGAGCAGTTTGCAGAAAATATCTCCAAAAATAAAAGTTGCAAGCATAGAATGTGTCTGGAGGCTTCGTTCTAAAGGGTCGCCTTCGTTTTACAGGGTTTTAGCCCTATTCCACCCGACATGTCCTTGAGGCGGAGTATTTTGGGGATCCCCCATACCCCCCTATTCTCTTCTAAGTTTTCTCAGGAATTGCAATGGCCAAGGCAGAGCATGGCAGGGTTTCTTGCCTGCTCGACGTCGCTGAAAAAAAGGTACGGCGGCCTTGACAGGGCCGCGTTCTTGATTGAGCTCTCTTCCATGCCAAGCTTGCAATGGAGCTTCATGCGAGCTCGTCTTTAATGCCATGCATCTCCTCCTTCAAGCCAGTGCGCCAGGCACAAACATGGAGACTGCACACCATTTCTGCTTGCCCTGAGCAACCCGGCTCCAAAGAGTTTCTGCTCTGGCTGTGGGCGCGCATGCCCTGAGTGCGAGTGACATGTGCTCCGCAAAGCCTCTCTCGCCAACGCTCTCTCCTAGCATGGGCTCTTGCCAGCCCTACACCGGATAGCTCTTCAGAAAAGCCGATTGAATCTGTCAATGCTAGTCTGCTAGTCCAAGCCGTGCTCTCTTGTCAATTGGGACAAGCCACGCCACGACGGCGAATGAAGGTGCCGCTGCCACTCGTGGATTCGACCTACCATGCCAATCTGGCACTTCGGATGCGCCGAACAAGCCCCTCAGCAAAAGGACCCCAGGCAAAAGAAATGCGAACGAAAGGTAGCCCAATCTGTCCTATTTAAAGTCATAATTACTTTATGTCAAACAGTTGGCGTGGGCTCGGACTCTATGAAGGCCGTGCTTTTCAAAAGACACGTTCTAAACTTCAAGCTTCTTGGAATCCCAAAAGATACAACCTGTTGAAACTGAGTGTTGCGCTGGGACGTTGCAACAGGTCTAGCTGATACTTTGTCCAGTGCCACGACTCTGTACAATTTGAAGACAGTGCGTCAACTTGAACACTTTCTACTGAGGAGAAAACCCTTTGGCCCCAGAACTCAGAGAAGACCTGAAGAATGATCATATCACGTTGACACGCAAACAAGGAAGAACAAGGAGACCGCCCCGATAGGCAGGGGTGGGGGGTGGGGGGGGGGGCTATTGTTCGAACAACTCATCCGAAAGAGAAATTATATACCCTCACTCCCGTACCCCCCCCCCCCACCTCTGGCCCATGGGGGGTGCTTTGATTGTTTGAAGGATAATGGGTGGAGGGAAGGGCAGCTCAGACCCTGATTCCTCTGCCGCAGTCAAGCCTTTTTGCGACCAATGCTAGGGCATCCCAAAACAACCCTCGACCGGTGAGAAGTGGCAGAGCAGCGCCTGATGCGTCCTTGGCACAGCCGGCAAAGCCCAAACTGCAGCTAAAGTACGTGGACACGTGATAAACAAATATCCTCCCTGCCATCTGGCCATGGCTCCTTTTGCGCTCACCACGCTGGCTGGAATTGAGACACACGATCAAATGGCTGTTGCCGGGACAAGGCATCCGTTGGAATCAGAAAGCACGTTGGCCTTCCTGACATGGTTTTTGGTTCGTTGCTTCTTTCAATAGTGGCTGGAGAGGCTTTGCTTCTGTCATTGAAGCCATCACCCATAGCCACACACACACACATGCTTCCATGCTTCACTCTCGATGGAAAAATGTCGTTGGGACATGTTGGGTTCCCCTCATGCGTCTTGGCATCTTGGCATCCGCGCTGCCAGGGCACCACCAGTGCCGGGCGCTGTCGGGTGACAAAGATTTTCACCACCGCTGCGCCCACCTGTGACAGTGGCGTGACATTTGGGCGAGCGGCCCATTCGGAGAGTCGAAGCTCCCGCCTGGCAGCTGTCCACCAGTTCAATGCCTGCATCCTGGAGCCGGAATGTATTTCAGTTGGCAGCTGCCATAATGCTGAGTTGAAATGCTCCATCCATCAAGGACGACCGAAGCAACTTGACCAAGTGTCAGAACCCATGCTTGCTTGCGCCTGACGCAATTGCAGCCCACGTAACGTCCAAGGCAAGCAATGCACTTGCAGGGTTTCAACTTGGCGACATGCATTCAACCATTAACAGTCCTCTTCCGGATCGTACGCCGCAGATGGCACCTCCAAGGCAACACATTGCACTCCCTGTGCTGCGAATTGTCTCAGCAGGACTGGGTAATGCGTTCAGGTTCCGCTGCCGCGGTTGAAGCTCAAACAACATCCCGACATTTCCTGGCCTGGTCCGGCGGTGGCAAAGTTGCAACCTCGCGTTGACAGCGTCTTAAAGGGCGGCTGATCAAAAACCCTGCTTCGGCAAAACACCCTTCTTCCCGAGAAGGAAATATATTTCGCGAACCTTTCGCCATGCCCTTTTGCTTGCGCGCGCGCTCTGGAGCCACTGTTTCTGCCGCAGTTGCGCTTGCAAACCGAACTCCCGCGCCGTGCAGGCGTGCAAGCAAAGTAAAATGAAAGCAGCCACCACCATTCGCCCATTCCACTTGCGTGCGGAAACTTGCAACAAGCTCTACGGGCTTTCACCGGTCACTCGCGAAACCTAATAGCCCAGCCAACGCTTTGACGTGCACCAGTCCCTGCACAGGCAGGGAATCAAGGACACAAGTGAAGGTGCCTATAAGGACATGGGACAACTGAAGCCTCCATGAGTTCCCTTTTTAGGGCGAGGGAAACTTAGTGTTTAGTGGTTCCGAGTCCCTCCCAAACCGAGCAACAGTTTTGGCCAAAGGTGTGGGGCTGATTGTTTAAGTGGCCGGGACTCATACGGCCATACGGCAACATGTCGAGCGTGATGAACTGTGGGGGATAGAGCTGTAGGGCTATAGAAGGGTCCATGCGGCACTTGCAATGCGCCACCTGGGCCGCCATCTGGTCATCGCTGGCCTTGGAGAGAGTGTGCGCCAAAGCTGGCTACACCCATGTGCGCGAAGACGTTGCCCCAGCCGAGCAAATGAAAAACTTACTTGGAAAGCTCAAAACAGACACACACAGACGCACACACACACAGACACACACAGACACACAAAGACACACACACACCACACAAACAAACAAACAAACAAACAAACAAACACACACACACACACACACACACACACACGATCTGTAAAGACAAGTTGTAAAAAAAGGCTCGTGTTGCGGGGCCCTCACACTCACGCGTACGAAAGTCGCGGAAAACGGCTCTGAAGGTTGCAACACTCTACGTTGAAACTATCTGCCATATTCGCCATACAATAGCGTTCTAGCTGCAATGAAACACCAAGTTGTAACTGCAACCAGGCACCAAACTCTATCCTAACTGCAGTCAAACACCGAGCTCATGATCGTCGCAAAATTGTCCAAACCAATCATGCTGATCTGCCTGGTTGCAACCGTACGACATGCGACACTTTTGACTGGCTCGGCACACTGATTACCGCATAATCCTCACGTACATCAGCTGGCCTGGCTGCTGCTTAGCAGCACAGAACACTTGCTGGCCGCGCAGCCACAGCGTGTTCATTCCTTGACAGCGTTTTTCTCGGACACAGGCCGCCTCCCAAAGAGTAACAATGTCCAGTCACACTGTATCCGTCTTTGCTGCCCAGATCCAAGATCGCAGCTACGCCCTAACACGCTCAGGAGACAACCTCCACGAGCTCAGCAGGCGGGTCGCAAACGATGCCCGTGTCTATGGCCTGCGAAGGCAGGCACAGCTTGAGATCTGCAAGGGAATGAGCAGGTGAGTCCCACAGGGCCGTGCGATGCGCCAACCGAATAAACCCTGGCGCAAAAAAAAATATGATCTGCTATGAACTGCATTAGCTCTCTGTTGCTGGCGCCACCTAGAAAAGAGCTTCTATGTCGCCGTCCGCAGCACCACAAGGAATTGAACTGTTTGATTCACACAAACGTCTGCAACATGACGTTAATCACAGTGAAATGCCATGCAATCGCAATGGCAGTATCACAAGAGTTCTACACTTCTGCGGTGTTCATCGTCATGTCCGAGCTCTGCCACCCCACCTCAGCCTCGTCTGGAAACGTCGCTTCTCGGAACTCCTGCTCTGCTGCCAGGTCCTGCCAACTGGAGCATGTCACCCAACACATCCCAACACCCAAAGCCGGAGCAGTACTAAGCTGCAAACGGTGTTGATGTTGGTGCCAGCTAGGCCGGGCTGCGCGCTCAACTCAGAAACGCTAGCACTAGTTCCGCGACCGCCAGGTAACTAGTCCTTGTCGAGCTCCTCAATGGCCTTCATGAGCTGCCGGCTGCGCCTAAACCACAGCACGTTACAAACAAAGAAATATGCAATGTAGAATCTGTGACGAAGTTGTGTCAGCGCGCTCAGCTGGTTGAGGTCACCGTGGTATAGACTTGCCAGCTTTTGCAGCGTCCATGCATCCAAAGCACTCATCACGCTGCTGCGAGAGCTCTGCCAGGTGCTTCTGGTGTTGCTGCATCTGCTGCAGCTCGTTGCTTACCCTCTGGATCTCTGCCTCACACCGAGACATCCGTGCCGAGTATTCTGCACAGCCAAGCCAGCCCAGCCTCCCTGTGCTGACTAAAGGAAATATCAAACCTGCGCAGGACCTGCGACAGAAAACCTGTCTGGTTGCCTCCATCCAGGTTCAGTAGCTAAAGAAGAGCATACACTTTGCAAGTGTTTCCTGGCCTTGGATTCATGCTGCGGCCGCTTGGAATTCACCTTGCCCGCCAGCTGCTCGTAGCCTCAAGTATCAAGCGCTTTGTGCTCGGAAGGCAGGGAAGTAATCATGAGCATAGCACTTTTCAAGCACTAGCCATGGCATCCTACAGCCCAGCCTGCGTCACACTACAATTAAAACACTGGATAGTGTGGTGGCATCTTGGCATTGGGGCATAATGTGGCGCTACTAAGATGCTCACATGTGTCGGCAAGACTTCTTTGTGAAAAACATATGCCGTCAAGAACAGCAGAAACTATCCTTTTGTGCACATGTGACCTGTTATGCCTCACTCCATCAAATTCGTCTATGCACCTGTGCCCAGCATTTTCCAAGGTGCCCTCATAGCGCTTTCGCTTTGCCTGGCTTCTGAGAAGCTGCTCTCGCTGTCCCTCCAGCTGACTCTCTTCCGTCTCCGCGTCCTGTACAGTCCGCAGTGGTGCAAAATGCTTACATCATCTTTGCGAGCAAAAGCAATACAGGCTGGACCGCAGGCCCACGCTTAGCATGTCAACCCTCTCCTTCTGGTACTTAACTCGCATCGACTCCAGGTCTGCAATCTCTCGCCGCCGCCGGCGATCTTCTATCTCCCAGGCTCGGATGTATTGCATCTCATACTTCACCAAGCATCGCCTTTCGGTTCTGTGAATGCGAATATCTGGGGTCACTTCATGACAAGCCATGCTTGTCTGTCACCCCCTTGAAGGCGCATAATGGGGTTGCGCAAACACACCGTCTCTGAACCAACAAATGCATGATCGTTGACTAGATTTCCACCGCTCCATTCAGCTCACCATTGTATGTGAAAGAACTGTAGGAACAAATAGGCGTTTCATTCAAAGTACAGCTGCAGCAATGCCAGACAAGTGCAGCAAAGGTTCTGGATATCAGCAATCTTGCGCAGGCAATCCTGCTCATCGAGCTTGTTGAAGTCTCCTTATCGCAGTACGAGGGCTTCTTTGCGGCTAAGCCAGCAATTGCCGCTGTGTTCACTTCAAACATCGTTTGACTCAATGTGCTGGAGGTGATGTTTCGGAATGGCCAGGGTCAATGTGTGCAGTGGCTTCCTGTTTGCGACGATTTCAAGCATATGGAAGCGACTATTGTGTAACTCGGTCTCCAAGGGTGGACGGTGGCAATTGCCCCGATGCTGCCCCTTGTTCCAACAGCCAAGCAGTAGCTTGGCAAGCCTCGCTGTGAATTGCGAGGCTGGATTCTGGTTCGGGGTTAGTCCGAACGACCAAGGGGTGTGTGGAAAGCTAAAAAATAGAAAGGACAACTTTTGTCTTGGAAGGTCTGCGAAGGAAGCAAAGGTCCTGTGAAGAGGGGTAGTTTTTACTCTGCTTATCCTTGCCCTCCTGCGCTTCCCCCGGAATCAGAAAGCAGGGTTCACCAGCCCAATGCTGACCAAATACGAAACCAACACTGCACTGAGCAGTACCCATCCAGAGGCTACTCTGCTAAGGGTGGCATGTCTGACACATTGCTTCCCCTCAAACGTTTTGGTAATCAGTCACCCACCTTAAGGAACTCAACACGACATGGCAAAGCCCCTTGCACCATGAAGATCCAACCCAGGCGCCAAGGTCAGGGCTGTGCTTTGATCCATGAAGGCAGGCAATATGTGTGCTCCAAGAGTCGAATCAGTGCCAGAGAGTGCCGCGCTACGTCTTTCAACTTGTCTTCTTGCGCCTGTTGGGAGAGGCAACTGGACCACGCAGGTGGGCCAGCACAAGAATGCCAAATTCTGACTATTTCTGCGTTTGTGTTTCCCTCCGCACTGGTATTCACGCTCCTCAAACTGATTCATATTGTATGCTCCTCAAGTTGGGTTGCTGCTTGCCGTGGGCAAGAAAAGTGATGAACAGAAACACGGCACACAAAACAAGATGCCAGTTGCGGAATGCATATATCAAAGACTTCCCCCCACTGACCCCCATAACAAACCCGAAAGAAGAAATATGACAGTTAAGCCTTATCTGAATAAGTGATCTAGAACCCTAATTTACCCTTGAGTTCTGTCTTATCCTCTATCGTTTAGTCTGGTGGTGCAACCTTTTAAAGAAGAAAGCACAGCAGGCCGAGGAACGCCACCAAACGTGGAGTGAATCTGTACAGTCTTGAGATGATGACCATGGCTTGAGCAAGGAGGGTGTATTAAATCAGAGGTTGTCATGATTGATAAGTCCATCACCCTCAAGTGAGTGCAAGTTCGAACACTATGCGGCCTTTGTTGAAGACTCACTTTGACGATAAACAATCAAGCGCGCTGCCATCAGCGGGAAAACCGCACTGCCTCGTATTTGGACTGCGCAATCTGTGTCACAACCTTGGAGCGATTCGCAACATAGTTCGTGCCAATTCACAAAAGCCATGCGACGCATCGAGAAAGGAAGGACTTGGACTTTGCTATCTATTCTCCACTGGGCATCCAAGTCCTTTGGCCTGACATGGCCTGACCATGCTGTGACCATTCCTTTGGCAGCCAAGTCTTTGCCGCCACGCGTATACGAATTCAAATGCCCGTAGTGTTGTAAGTGCCGACCATCAAAACCCTGGGTGGCAACAAGAACCCATTTGAAACCCAGCCCAGGCACCATCCTCTGATTGTCAACATGGATGCACGCAGTTTGCTTACTCTGCCTCGCCTTCGGCCTGAGGGCAGGACCTCATCTGTCAAATCCTGTCGGTTTGGGTTCTTTCCAGGATTCCAAGGCTGGGTCAGGCCCTTCAGGTTGCAGGCTACCGCTGCACGTCAGTTTGCGCCCAGGGCAGCACATTGGCTTGCTCCGCTGCAATAGCATTTGCAGCCACAGCTTGCACATGTCGCATGGAATGGGGATAACATGAGCAGCCAAGCAAAAGCTCCGGCACGATCGCTAACTTCTGCTCCTGGCCAGCCTTCTTCACTGCCTTGTTCTCCGCCTTCTTCCCTTCCAGAGCTGCTGACTTCTTCTTCAAGCCCAGTGACTCGTTCTCCTCACGAAAGTGGCTGTCTGTACTTGATTCTGGCGCACGCTGCACAAGTTGGCCGCGCATCAGCAGGTTTTGGGCACCGTTCCAACACCTCGACATTGCGTCACGTCACATTGTGCTCCACTGCAAACAAATGGGCCAATAAGAGGGTAATCTATGGTAATCTCCTGGATCCTGGATGCTCTCAGAGCCAAACGTGCGAACAGCAAATTTAGTCAACGTGCAGGCAGGCAAGCATTTGGCGCATTTGGGTTCCAGTCCCCTTTCCCAATTGCTTGGCTCCTTCTGCTCCTTCTGCTCCTTCTTTGCATCCTTGGCATCCTTGGCATCCTTGGCATCCTTGCTCTCGTCTTGCTCTGCGCTTCGCATTGCGAAGCTTTACGTTGGCCGATGGCTCATTCTTGTCGCGAAGTGAGCCGAATGCAAGCAGAAGGAACATCACAGAGTATCAATTCAGAGCTGCGCAAGAAACCACAGCACTGCTGTCCGGGCGACATCCAGTTCTCAACACATAATCCGCTCCGGTAACTACGTAGCCACTGGGAATAATGCACTGTTCTCGGCGCGGCTAAGCCTGCAGCCGTGGCTTTCCGCAAGACTTTGGTTGTCCTGCCTGACAAGGTGTCCACGACAGCACATGAAATGGCACCGAGGTACGCTGTGCGCATCTCACGGCTCAAAAACAGACAGCGAAAGCAATGCCTCGCTGAAGGCACGCGCAGCCCAGGGCACATGCCAAAGGGGTCCATGAACCCTTGGCCTGGGGCGGCAGCCACTTCTCAAGGTTCGACATTGAATGTAACGTGAATCAACGCATTGTGAGGAGTTAGGAGGCCCTTCTGGCCGGAAGGGTGAGCGTTGTGCCCTCATGTGCCCTCTTTTAGTCGTTTCTGGGAGCATCTTGACGCTACCAAAAGTTGGAGCCCAGTCCGGAAAATGACAAAAGCCCGCCTGCACGCGCCACGTTCTCGCATTGGGCACTGCCTGGCTCGTGCAAGGCCTCAGCCTGGCACAGCTTTGCGCAGTGAACCTGTGCAAACCTAGGTTGGCCAAAACTCAGGCTAGTGGCAAGTCCGTCACAGTAAGCAAGAATGTGCTAGTGCACAAAAAGGCACAAAATGTCTTTGCAATGTTGGTCCTTGCACCCTTCCTGTTTGCAGACAATCAAGCATTCCAAGATAGTCACAAGGAGTACAATAGCATAAGCAATATGCAACAAGTTGGGAGTTAGCATTTGAAACTTGTTCGAGGCAAACGACCACTTGACTTGACAAGGAACTGTGCAACATTTCCAAACATATGTTTCTCCAAAACCAAGCAACTTCCCCGCTCCGATGCTTTGAGCAAATTGTCAACAACTTTGAAAAGGAATGGGTGGCGATTCAAAAAGACAATTTATGTTTATGAAAATACCGGGCAATCAACCCACAAGATTGGGAAGATGCACGCCGGTGCCTGCTTTCGAGCCTTTGCCAGGCAACTCCTTGCGTCAGCAAGGCCATAGTCACCGTCCCAGGCTTTGGGGACGATACCGTCTGGCTCGACAGCATCTACAGTCCGAAACAGCGCGGGGATATATGGTTCCTTCCAAAGCTCCTTGGGAATGTTTGTGTGCGATTTGCCGTGCAATAAATCAGGAACCTCTAACGCACCCAAACATAGCAGACCCATTGTGCTGCAAACCAATTGGCGATGCAGACCAATTGCAATGCAGACTGATAGCATAACAAACAACAGCCTTGTGCGGAGCTCCTTCCGGGAACAGCTTAAGCCAAAGCAGCTGCTGACATGCCAACAAAGCAACAACCCGGCCCCGCCCCACTGCGAATTAAAGTTGAATCGCACGCGCTTAGTGATATGGAAGGTGGTGTTTACACAACAGCTGATCAAAGGTGTTGTTTGCATGACTGGACAATGGACAAAGATGAACAGAAACCCAAACGACCCACAGGGACAAGGTAAGAAAGACGGGTCATGTGATGCAAGCAAGCTAGACTCATGTGACTTCTGTGGCACAACTTTGGCAGGCTACCTAGCTGCAAAGCTCTGCATTTTCTGAATCAGGAGGGAAGCTGAATTCAAGGTTTCTGACTTCGGCAGCACAATGCAGCAATGCCAGCGGCTGGATCTATAACTCTGCTTGGCTGTGACATCTGCGTCTTAAGGAATCGCTGCCTCGTGCTGCCTGGCTTTGAGCTACCGTGAACATCTCGTGGTGCGTTTGCTTGGGCTCTGAGCCCCTTCTGGGGTAAGCCTTTTGGCTCTCGGCTGCCCGCTTTTGAGGTGTGCCAGGCAAGCCGCATTGCTACCTGCTGCTACCCGGCAAACGCAAAACTCCCTTCCTGAATCACCTGACGTCGCTCCCTTCCAGAAACAGCTCGAAACATTGAGGCATTCCAAAGATTCCCATCGAAAGTGAACTTCGGCTTGGTGGCTAGGCACACTGGGCAAGCAGAACCGAGAGAAAGCACCGCAATTTGTGGCGTTCCTTTCAAGGAACAACTTCATGTGCCATGAAAAGCAAATCGACTAGCTTGATGCCTGCAACGCACGGCGAAGCAGTTTGCCATCAGCCATGTGAGCCCCAGGCCGGGGCACCAGGAGTGCCTCGATGGCCCCACCCGTTCAGCCAGATCGCAGAGTCCCTGGTCTCACATCAGTGGCACCTGTTCCTGAACATGCAGCTTGAAACACAGGGATGGCCTTCCCGCACACCCAGTTACTTGCGCGCGACAAAAGGCGCTACCTCCTTTCAAGCCCAGCTCCTGGCGCTTCTCTGCACCGCCTTGAAGCGAAGCCGGTTGCTTCCACTCGGACATGGAAAGCAGTCGGAGATGCAAACTGCCCTGGGCCTGGACCAGTTGTTGAACATAAGCCACATGAAAGCTTTCGCAGCTTTCCACGCGGGATGCTTCTACATGAAGCAGGCCCAGGCAGTCTGCAAGGAAAATTGGGCGCAGTTGGCGCCGCCATTGCTGCGCGCAGTCCGCACTGAAGCAGCTAAGCACTGCCTGACAGTCACAAACTAGACACGTCACAATCACGTTGGCGGCAACCCAGCCGCTCTTTCGCGGCGCCCGCAGTGTTGCATCCTAACCTCTTGCCGTGCAATTTCAGCGAGAGGGTATGTGATAGTCCGGACGCACCAGGCCCAGCTCCTGCCACCACGCAGGCAGCATTGAGGGCGGCGGCAGACCTGCAAAATGACTGGATACGACGTTTGCTCGGTCGACGCCATGAGGTTGCGTTAAACAACTTGTACTTTGATTGCCAATTGTTGGCTTCTCGATTTGTCAAGCTCTGCACCTTTTTCATTGTTGTTTCTGCGCGCTTCGAATCTGGAGCCTCGCAACCTTTTGGTACACACAGAACGCACAAAGGGCAGATTTGCAGCTCCATCTGAAAAATCACTTCCCAGTAGTCTAGTGCAAATGAGGTATTATGTAGCAACACGAAATTGCTTCCTGCAGCTTCAGCTCGAGCATTTTAACTGCTCAGCCATTGCAATCAGAAGATGTGCCGGAGGTGAGTACGGAGTGTCAAAGGTCATTTCCGTGAAATGCGCGTTCGTTTCAAGTACAGTTTTGTTATCGCAAGTCTGGGTGCCTTTGTTACCTAACAAGCTTTGCGTTCCTCGTTGTGTGGTAAAGCGTTGCATCATGGACACGTTGGCCCGAAGAATACTGAACTGAAAGTAACGGGTCTTTCCGGAATACACTGCGAAGCCCTTCAATATTTTAGTCTGCACACTCACTCAGGGCAAGCCCTTCAAGATTAAAGCCTCAATACTGTACATGAGCCACGTCGTCCACATGGTCAACTGCATTGCCTCAGTATGTGTCAAAGCCACTGTGTCGCTACCCCCGTAGCCCACCGTACTCTGATTGTCACAGCTCATGTCAATATCACAGGCCATCGAAACGCGCGCGCCCGGGTCGGACATTTTGTGTTTTGTTGCACTTCATCTTGACCCAAATGAACTTTCTGTACAAATGGTGCGTGTCAGGTTCGGAACCTGCGGTTTCTGCTACATATCGGTCGCCTCTTTGCGCGGATTGCGCGCCTGTGGTGCAAAAACTCGGGATTTGTTTGATTATTTTCGGTTATCTTGATCTTGGCTGAATCCCCTTCGTGGATCGCGCTCGCTTCAGGGTCCGAACAAACTAGGGCCTTTGGCGTTTACATTGTCATGGTGCCGGTCAAACCTTTGCGTAGATCGCGCGCGTCAGAGTCGGAAAGCCTCACGCATCAGCTCCGTCAGAGTCGGACGATGGCAGAAACGGCCATTTGGCTCTATGAGCGTGGGGCATCAAGACGACCCGAGTGATCGATGGAGGCGCTTTCTAGCCGGCCCAGGAATTTCAAAATCAAGGTCCCCATGGCAGCGAGAAGCACTGCCCCAATGTGGCAAAGCTCACATCAGTTTACAGCGTGCCTCAGTTTTGCTAAGTAGATCATGCCAGTTAAATGTGCATTGGTGTGTCCCCAAGCAAGTCAAGCTAAGCTCGCTCGGTTTGCATGCTGCCCTGTGCTTCCGGGTCACCCGCCTACTAGTTTACAACATCGCTTGGCTCTTGACAATGTGGTTTGTCTCCAGTTCAGATTGTTGACAGGATGAAACCAACACGGCATCCTTGCCCTTCGCCTGGCCTTATCAAAGGCAACTTGACCAATGACCATAAATATCCATAAATTAACCATCCCCTGGATTCATTCCGTGTCTGATGCGTGAATATTGCTTCGTCATTTCCTGCCTCGCTTCCATAGCCTTGTGCTTGCTACCGCAAGAACAGGTTCAAGCCTCTTACACTCATCTTATGTCGTGTGTTGCCTTGCCATGACAAATGTCATGCCTACTGTGGCCTGCATGCCTTGCAAGCTCAAAAAGTCAAAATCAATTCGAGGTCCTAGACCGGGCCTAAAGCACCCTTTGGTAGAACTTCGATTGTCACAGACAGGGCCGTCTCCTGCAAAGCTCTGAAAAAGATCGTGCTCTCTGATGCCAATTCTCCGCAACAAGCAAATTCGAGCGTGAGGCGTGATGCCATGACAGTGTCCTCTGCCATCTCTGTAAACGTCTTCTTCGGCACATTGATTGCTCTGGCCCCCGCTGGCAGCGATAGCGAAGAGCGCCGACGTCGTGGACCTCAACCACAGGGCAAAAATATCTTGACACATAGCCCAGGAGGCGATTCCTATTCAAACAAGCGCGTTGATGGGCGAAAGGAGCTTCATCTGTTTTTGGCGGACAAATCCACCTGTGGCTATATGGGGCAGTTCATTTCCGATGGATTGCATGTCAAGGCCCTAGGCCGTGCTGCAGGGGAGCAACTGTGATCGAGGTCTAGTTTTGCAACGGAAAGGCTTCA